GCGTAGAAGGAATTTTTCTTCAGCACAATTAACTCATCGCGTTCGCGAGGGTCCTCCCGTGAACGCGAAGAAGAACATACCAGAATACCAGCAACTGAAAACCTGCAACTTTTTAAGAGTTTAAAACCTTTCGAAACACATCCGAAACTCACCCGAGCCCTCGGGGCTCCAAACCAAACATACGTACTAACTCAAAAACATCATATGAACTTATCTGTGCGATCAAATCGCCAAAATAACATCATTAACTTCGAATTAAATCTCAAAATTAAAGAATTATTTCAAACTTCTTAAAACATCAAATTTTGCAGTTAAGGTCCAAATCACGTCAAACGGATTCCGTTTCTTACTAAATTTCACAGAATTCTCTTAAACCACATATAAGACCTGTACCGGGCGCCGGAACGAAAATATGGGCCCGATACCAATATGTTCCAATCAAAATTCATTTCAAAATCCTTTAAACAATTTCAGAAAACAATTTTCTTTAAAAATTCATTTCTTGGGCTTGGGACCTCGGAATTCGATTCCGGGCATACGCCCAAGTCCCATATTTTCCTACGGACCCTCCGGGACCGTCAAATCACGGGTTCGGGTCCATTTACCCAAAACGTTGACCGAAGTCAAATTAATTCATTTTATAGTCAAAATTTATCATTTGTTTCACAGATTTTCACATATAAGCTTTCCGGCTACGCACCCGGATTCGCACGCAAATCGAGGTGCTACTAAAAGAGGTTTTTAAAGCCTCGGAACGCAGAATTTCATTTTAAAACAAGTGATAACCTCTTGGGTCAACACACTCACGTAGAACAATAAGCAGCTGACTCATTTTGGAAAAATTTGCATGTGTTTGATGATGACGAGTTTGACACTGAAACATTGCTTTCATGCAGGAAATGAAGGATTATCTGGCTGCATATTTCATTTGGTGAAGTCCTTAATAAGAAGGTACAACAATTATGTAAAAGCAAACAAGTCGGGGAATGCTAATGCGGTTAGATATTAATTTCGTTAATTTAGATTAAAGCTCCGGATCTGGCACAATGCAGGCCAACCACTATTTTTAACTCCCTTTCAGTGAAACCTCAATATGTAGACAACGTGCTATTTACAATGAAATCTTCAGGCACTTGCTTATATAGTACTTGACTTTTGCCCTTTGGATGGACAGTGGACAGTATTACACCATCTTTTATGGTTGTGGTTCTTCAATTTCTGTGCATATTTTTTGTTTTCATTGTTTGTGTTCTAATTGGGGTATCAATATACACTCATTAAGGAAGGGATATTTCAAATGCAGGACCTTATAAAGTGGCAATATGAGGTGATGAATGAAAGAAAAAGGGATTCTCTGGTCATTTCCTCGGCAGTTTAGCCAAATTATCTATGTGATGTGGATCATATATTAAGCTTATTCCTTGTTTTTACTTGTCTAGTTAAAGCGGATGTTTGGGCCAAGCAGACCATAATTTTGAGTAAAAATTGCACAGGGCGTCCTATTTGGTCGCCCCCATTTAACCTATACCCATATTTTTAAAATTATTTAACCTATACCCTAATTTTTACAACTTCAGGCGCCTCCTTCTTCCTGCTACATGTGCGCTTTTTTCTTCCTCCTTTTTTTTCTACTCTTTATTTTTTTTAATTTGTAGTATATTTTACTGCTGATTTGCTCATAGTGACTGCCATTTTTGTTGAAACAGCGTTTTAGAACTTTTCTTCATCTATTTATAATTCATTGTCTGTATTTATTATATTTGCAATGAATTCAGATTGATCCAAGAATGGAATATCAAACAACAAGCTGATTGCGGCTTTATTGATGCAAGTTGAACTATTATACTAAAGCTTTGAATACTAGTAGGACAAAAACTCCAGCTTATTTAGTGTTAAAGCTTTTACAAATGAACTAAATAACTTCAGTATCTTTTGCTAAAGTTTTTGAAAAAGCTTTATGTCAAAACTAATGAATCCAGGACAAAACTTCAGCTTATTTAGTGCTGAAGATTTTACAAATGAACTAAATAACTTTAGCATCTTCTGCTGAAGTTTTTGAAAACTAATGAATCCAGGACAAAACTTCAGCTTATTTAGTGTTGAAGTTTTTACAAATGAACTAAATAACTCTAGCATCTTTTGCTGAAGTTTTTGAAAAAGCTTTACGACAAAACTATTGTATCCAGGGCAAAACTCCAGCTAAAACATGCTGTAGTTCAGCAAATAAAGAACAAAACTCAGCTAGTAGAATACTTAAGTTCAGCAATTACAAACAACTTCAGGCCTGTCTACTAGAATGCTGAAGTTTGCGTGATTGCCTGTGCTACTTCAGGCCCGTATGCCTGAAGTTTACGCGAAAAGTGGGTACGCTTGCAATTTTTTTAGCAAAGTGGGTATAAGTTAAAAGGTGAACCAAAAAACGGGTCTGAAGTGAAAAATTGCACTTCAGATGCACTTAAGGTCAAAAAGTCTAAAGTGCAACAAACGTTTTCATTCACTTAAAGCCAATAAGTCTGAATTGCAACAAACGTTTTCATTCACTTAAGGCCAATAAGTCTGAAGTGAAAATTTGCACTTCAGATGCACTTAAGGCCAAAAGGTCTGAAATGCACAAACGTTTTGCTACACTTAAGGCTAGGGGTGTACATAAGCTGGGTTTGTTCGGATTTTACAATTACCAAACCAAATCAATTGTATCGGGTTATTAAATCTAAATACCAAATCAAACCAATAAAACTCGGAGTTTTCAATCTCGATTTTTCTCGGGTTTTCGGGTTATTCGGGATTTTTCGGGTTTTTTCCCGGTAAAAGTTTCGTAGAACAAAACATATAACTTGTGCTCAAAATATTCTTTAATAAAAAATAATAAGATGTGTCATAATACAAAATATGAGATGTGTCATGACATTATCCTAAAATATTCAACAATAAAGACAATAAAATTATGTAATATAAATATTGCTAATTAAAAAGTCATAATAAAATAAGTAGACTAATAAAGGAGTATTAATTACATGACTAAACGCTAAAGAAAAAATAAAAATAGGTTATGCATTTTTATCTAAAATATTTCAAAACAAAAAAATAGATAATTAATACATTGACGTTCGTAGTATTGAATTGAATGTCTTTGTTAGCATTAATATTGATTTGATTTTGGTTTGGGCTTTTGTTAGCATTACTTAAACTACTAATATTAATGGCTATAAAACTTATTGGAACATTCAAAAGTTATAAGTCCCACCTTGAAATAATACCTTAAAAGATAAAATTATGAAAAAGTTTAAGAAATATTTATAAATTACATCACAATAAGTATATTTATATATTAAATATATCTAAAATTTCTATATATGTAATGTCGGGTTGATTTGGTTTCGGTTTGACTTTCTTTAGTTAAAACCAAACCAAACCAATTATGGTCGAGTTTTTTTTTCCCAATGCCAAACCAAATTATAGTCGGCTTTTTTTCTCGGTTTGACTCGGATTATTGGGTTGGTGCAGTTTATCGGTTTCCTTTGTACACCCCTAACTTAAGGCAAATAAGTCTGAAGTGAAAAATTGCACTTCAGATGCACTTAAGACCCAAATGTCTGAAGTGCAAAAAACGTTTTGCTACACTTAAGGGTAATAAGTCTAAAGTGAAAAATTACACTTCAGATGCACTTAAGGCCAAAAGGTGTGAAGTACAACTAACGTTTTTATGCACTTAAGGCCAATTAGGCCTGAAGTGCAAATTGCCCAAATTTGTTCTTCGAATTATAACAATCCAATATACGATTTAATACCTAAATCTACTCCAAATGAGCTCAAATTTAAAACATAACATCCAAATATCATCATGAACAAACCCAATCATCAATTTGTCAAAACAACAATAAATCTAATGAACCCATTTTGCAATTAAGAAAAAGAAGAAGAAGAAACCTTAAGCAATAGTAAAAAATAAAGCTGTCATAACAAGTCACCATTGTAAAATATCATAAACTATATTAAAATATGTTCACAACCACCATATAAAAGTAGAAGAAGAAGAAGAGGAGGGGGAGGAGGAGGAGGAGAAATATGCCTGAAATTATTTAAAAAGTGAGTACAATTTAAAACTTTTTTAAAAAGTGAGTATAAGTTAAATGGGGGCGATCAAATAGGGTGCCCCATGTAATTTTTACTAGTTTAACGAGATTCTTGTAAGCACAATTAGTTAATATGCAATTTCATTATCCATGTAATAAATGGGTAGAAATTTCATCAGGTAGCCACTCTAAATGACTGCTATTTAGGAACTAGCCAATATGTCTTGAATTTCAGTTTTTCAGTTTAATTTTTCAGGACAATTTATGTCCTGAATTATCTTAAAATTAAAAATTTTAGTTTAAAATTTCAGACAAAAATAATACTGGCTAATCCCAAAATAGCAGCCCTAAGAATGACTGTTTGTGCATCTCTCCCAATAAATGGTGGCGGAGGTGTGACAGCTTATCTCCGTATTAGCTTTGAACTCGAAGCTGAAGATGCATTACTTCAGAAAATTTTGTGTTTGAATGAGGTTTCAGTTTCTACTTTAGAAATTATTAAGTAAAACCAGAAAACAGAAAATAGAAGAAAAGGAAAAAACAATTGTATGGCACCAAAAAAACTTGCGACATTTTTGATTACTCTATGCATTCTAATTTGTTTGACAATATTTTCTTATTGGTCCGTTTCAAAAAAGAAAGAGACATTTATATTTGAAACAATCAACTTTGAATTTTTAATTTTACTTTTAATGAGAAATTTTTATAATCATACAAATATTATGACATGTTTAAGACTATAATTTTTAAATGTATGATTGTCATACAAATGTTATGTCGTGTTTAAACTAATAGCTTTTAGTAAAAGTTTTTATTTATTTCGTAAATTTTGTGCCAAGTCAAGCTGTACCAACCAAATTGAAATGAGACAATAAAAGGTAAAACAATTTAAAGAAAAAAATGGAAAAATAATTTAGTCTTCCAAACAAATACAAATATATGTCGATCCCCTACATAGAAAACTAATAACAATCTTGAGATAAAGTGGTCTTCCAGTGAAATGCTGTAAATCTTTCTGTATGATGATAACATGTTTGAAAAAACTAAAAAAAAGCCACCTCTTATTTCAAGATTTATAATCTTGTAATTATGGATAATTGAATCAGAAAAGGAGCTCGAATTTGCAAACAGATCATCAGCATTTTTAATTGTCCCAACATTTTGATTTTATAAGAAATGGTCTTTGGGATTTGAAACAGATAATTTCTAATTATAACTATCCATGGACCATTCAAAGATGGCTATTACTGCCTAGAGTTTTGACTGCATTCTTAGATTCAATCTTATTTCATCTTGTTGTTATTCCTACTTGTTGCAATTACCTTTTCTTTTTCAGTCGTTCTCTAGCCAAGGAGTTTTTGTTGTTGTTGTTGTTATTGTGGACCATGTTAAGTTAAGTATATATATTTCATGATTTAATCATTTTGGAAGCTTTTCCTTCCTACTTGGGTTAGTAAACGTGGTTTCTGAGTATAACGAGCAACTCAGTAAATCTCATATCGATAAAACACGAGAGATGTTATGACTTAGGAATATGATGAACCTAGTCTTTGGACCTTAGTGACTCAGTTTTAAAACTGTACATACTTATGTTCAAGACGAACAATATTACTAGTGAATTGAGTTATTACATATTGCATTAAAGCCGCTTCACATGTAACCTTGAGCGATTGTGAGACAAATCAGAGGCGAACACATGATCTGAAGGTCGAGGTACACTTTTATGTTCAGCTAAAATCTGTTTTGTATATAGGGTATCACTACTAATATATCACTATTTTAAAAAATACACGTATATATGAAATTTTTGCCGAACTTTAAGGGTATCGATTACCCTGTCTTTATGTCAAAATGATAAAGGAGAAGATACTTTGAGAATTTTTCTTATGTGTATTGAGACTGAATTACAATGTACTAGGTACACGTATAAATATAACAAGAAAGGAATCTGGCTATAACTAACTATTGCCAAGTGGTAGTATCCTATTTTCTAATGTCTAACCACCTATCAGATACAAAGAAAGATAAAATTATCTAGAAAATGATAACCACTGTAGTTAATCTCTTGGCCATGGTCTGAAATGCATGTAGGCCCAAAATATTTAGTCACAGCTGAAATAAGTCAAGGACTAAAGCTAATGTCTTCATTCAGGCCCGATGCAACTAAACCCATATGAACCGGGTCACCCATCTCTTGTACAATGTTTACATGTCTTTGCAATCCATTTAGACAGAACACAAACTCAACCTAACCATCTCCTCTTTCAATATACTTATCACCAGCGGACTGTTCTAAAGATCGGCGGTACAAAGCTTGATCAACACCATTTCCAACATCCCTCCTCAAGTTGGATGTTGGATGAAAGAACCCCCAACTTGCCTAGAAGATTATAATGCAAAGGCCCAGCTAGGGATTTAGTAAACAGATCTGCCAACTGAAAAGCAAATCAGACATAAGACAAAGAAATCAAGCCGGCTAGGAACTGTTGGCGAAT